AATTTTAACTTTACAGACTTTTATATGAAACGAGGTGGTTGGGGGATGTAACATTCTTGATGAGCTCTGTCAAGACTGATGTTTATTTCCCATATTTCACACACACAATCATAATAAAGACTTAATTTTGCCCCCCCCCCCCCCACCTCTAAATATTACTTTTCTTATAAAAACAAATACTTTAACTATTTTATCCATTCTCCCCCCCCCCCTTTTTTTCAGAAATTACACCTTGGGTGGGTACACCCTACTTTTTACGCAGTCACTACAAATTTTAAACCACAACAAAAACAATCAAAGATTTGTTAAGGAGGAATCTAAAAGCTACACGGGAAATACCTTGTATAAGGTATCAACTATTCTAGTACAGAAGCACAGTATCTATTCACTCTACTTACTCGATCGATGAATTAGCCACGATCACTGGACGTGAAATCTTTCAAGCCGCAATATTACACGAGATTTATTAAGAGACTTCTCGCAGCATCGAGGAAACCCTTTCTGCGCATGTCAGATAAACTTGGGAATTCCCAGTTTAAGCAAGTTTTGGTATTTTCTATTAAAACTTCATAATTCACCAACTTTTCATACCAAGTTGTGACATCATGGCTATTCTGGGCATCTTGAAGACGATTGTTTGTCAAAGAAACTTCGTGGAACGATAGAAAAACAGACAATGCGGTCCTCGTCGAGACAAAAGAAAGAACGTAAACAGATTGGAAAAAGTGGGCACACGCAGTGAGTGTTTTTCGGGCACGCTATGATATGGAGTGGAGGCAAGAACTTGAAAAACGCTGGCAAGATTGGTTAAAAGGGGAAGAAAAAGAGACAAATGAACGGATGCCCAGGACAAAATCACCAGCATGATCGGTGAATGCGTGGGATGGTAAAACGGGATCGGGGCCCAAGCCCCAACGCTATGTAAACTATTATTTCCATGCGTCTCAGACAGATGCACTCCGAAAGAAAAATCATCCCCAGTTAGTAAACTTTCACGACATACTTGTTAGGGGGCAGCCATACTGTCCTGGTCCAAAATGGGGAGCCCACACGGTGAATTAAAACAGTAAATATACGAGTCTTTTGTTTAGGCCCTCCTGAGAAAAGCGGCGTCTATGGGGAATATCCGTTATTATGTTAGCATTAGTTTTCCCAGAATGTGGGATAGTGTCATGTGAGTGAAAAGGTGGTTTCGAATTTTACTTTTATACTAATAATAATTCCTACCAAAAATAGCCAACCAGAGAGACGAATGGAGGCGGGTGATATCTGCAGCAATGAACCTTAGGGACTCGGAATGCTGAAGAAGAACAATAATTCAGAATTCCTAGTCCGCCACAAATCTTGTTAATGGTACCTGTCTGAAGCAAGCTACAGAATTTAAATATCTAGAAAGTATAAATCTCGGATGATGAAAGAATAGATCAGGAAGTAGAAACAAGATATCAACGAGCTAGGGAACTTTTATACCAACCGTTGCCCGGCTCGCTAGCGCAGTCGGTTAAACCTGACTGCGCGGCGACTGGGTGACGAACTCCTTGTGGTCCGGGTTCACACCCAGTGGTAGGCGGAAAAGCCACATTTCTCCAAGATTTAGGGTATCTATCATAGAATTAGGGTCGAATGGTTGCGATATCCATAGTACCGAGTCAGAGGCTTAACCCATGGTTTCCAGATACTACCCCCCCCCCCCCCCGTTATTAAGCCATCTAAACATAAGAATGAGCGCCAAGAAACAGATTATGATTCATACCAACACAGTTCTGCCAGCTCCAGTCTTGGACATTATCAAAGAATAACCAATGTAACATTACCATCTGTAAAATGAGATGCCTGAGAAAAGCCGAGACAAAGTTAGAAATGATATTGTCAGACAGAAACAACACCAGGCAGCAAATTCATTGAGAAACAGAAGATCAAATAGTGTAGTTATTTAGTAAGAATGCAGCTAGAACAACTAATAATGCAGGCGTTACACATCAAAGGATCTGAAGTGAAAGCAAGAGGCCGTCATATGAGATCATGGACCGAGGACATTAAAAAGCTTCAACATCGACACGAAATGATCGTAGCCATTGCTGCCCATCAAGCAATGGATCGCAAACTGTTCCTCCCCCACAAAGCTTAACAGCAGAAGTGGAAAAGGATGATGCAGTATTACATTCTAAGCAGCCAGCAAACTATTACCTGAGACGCTTTACAGTACAGCAGTGTTTCCCAAACTGTTTCATTTACAATTTTCCCACGACGCCCTAACCTAAGTGACTATCGGTGTTTTGGTTAAATTAATTAGAAAGGTTTTGCAATATTTCGCGAGGTTAGGTACTGTTCTGTCGACGATGGTTATTTTTTTTTCTCCATGTGACTTGGGCTCTAGGTCTACCCAGCCTAGATAGGATTGTGTAAAAAGCATGGAAAGTAAAAGAGGCTGGCAATATGCTGTATAATGCAGTGATCAAATCCTCCACCAGATGTCGGTTGAACTCTACCTATTAGGTCAAGCAATATTAAGTGTGTGCGTCAGCCTTTGTGTGTTTAGATAAACCAAGACACCACTACCACTCCCCCCCCCCCCCCCGCGTTTTTCTATCTAGATCTTTAATTTTGGCCAAAACGCCACATAATTTTTGTCTTAAACTTTGCAAGTTTGTGTTTGCAGACATATATAGTATTTTTAATATTTATTCTGCGCTCGCTCATCATTTTAAGTTGATTATTATACTGTTTACTCTTTGAAAATTAGGAAAACGGAAGTAATGGTTATATCAAAGAGACACAAGGGCCACGTAATGAGAAGAGAGCATAGGAAAACATCGTGACAACTGAACAGTCTGTGGAAGAAGGTATGCATCTGAATGGCATCAAGGGATTTCATCAATAGAGCTTTCCCTGCAACGTGATCTGTAGAGTACATGAGTGCCTAAGCCACTTGACAGAGCACATGATGATGATTGTAATAACTTGCCAGACATAAATAATCACTTAAACAAGGCTTAGGCGTCTACCGTTACATTGTTTCGAATTTCGAATTCGCGACAATGTGGATTAATAAAATTGACATAGGGTTCTTGGTCGACTTTATTATTAGCAAATAACTAAAGTAACATAACAGAATGATGACTATATCAGGTTCAAATCTGCGCACAGGCAGCAACATCGACCCCGCTGAAAACCCACATGACTGGTTTAATGTCGACCGCATAACTTCACTCAATGCTATTGATTTTTACGAATGTGCTGGATATTTCCGAGGAAAAGCAATTTTAGCGGAAACCCCGTAATAAGATCCAATTTTCGGACTTTTAGCATAAACGTGTTTATTTGAGCCAGTCTTCTGTGTAATTTAAACATAACATATTGTAACTGCACATCCTTCATTGCGTGAGTACTAGTGTACATTATCATCAAATGCCTTGTCATGTTGTAATTTAGGAAACCACCCTCTCTCATAATTTTTGGAGTTTTTTTTAAGGATAGGGGAGGGAGTAACAACCCAGAATTTTGTGGCATGGGACCACACACCGATTGAACGCATGCTGAGTTTTTTTTAAAGTTCAATACATCACACTATGTAAAGATTATATTCATTTGCCATTATCTTCTTTGTTTTCATCAGGTGTAAACTCCAGCGGTTCTGGTTGTTCGCCCATCTCTGGACTTAAAGGCTTGTTACGAAACTCATGTAGCATGCATTTTTCTTTAAAGGAAGCCATTCACATTAAACAAGGTTCCTTGCCTCTCGGGCAGAAACACACCGACTTTACAAAGGTAGCCACCGCTCACTATAATTCTGAGGGTTCACCGACTGACAAAAACTTCTGGATTTTAGTCTTGTTTCAGTACTTGAGTTCTGTGTGCACAGACTGCTGGTTCCTGAGAGATGAACAACGGAAGCAACACTAACTAGACCTTTTTTTTTACATGCTTGTTATAGAGCAGTGGTCCACACATCCACTATCATTTTATTCATTGCTCAAACAAATCCTTATGTGGGTTCCTTAGCCCAATTTTAGGCAACACGAATAGACCGACTCCAACAAGCATGTTGCAACCTACTAAGTCGGATCTGGTTTTGGATAACGGCAGTTAGAATACTCTTCTCGATTTCCAGGATTTTTCTTACATGCACACCAGAAGCCCTAAGTCCAGTTTGAAAATATCCTAGCTTCTACTTAACCCGGAACCTCTAGCACCCCCAGACAGACACCATAAAGCTCAGATGCAAACAAACAAATGTGAGAATACAAAGGACTAAGAACATGGACTACACCAAGTATGAATTGGGGACCATGTACAGAAAAACACAATCTGCACCTATACTGCTGGACAAACCTGGTTAAAATTGCAGGCAATTGACCACATAACCCATTGAACTCTGGTCTTCCAAAAGAGAAAAGGCCTTTACAGACATGAACAGGGAAGTACTAATGAACAATTATCCTAAAGCCTATACTACACGTTATAAATACTTCTATGCAGATTTGTCATGTTTAGACAATCAAGGGTGGTAACCAATAAGTGCTCAGTTCTACTTCTGACTGAAGCCCCGCCCTAAGTCTGAAGAATCTCAATACACTGCACAAACTCCATAGCACCGGCTATGATCATGAAATACTATGGGTAGATTCCAAACTCCAAAATTTGCCGTCAGTCTACACTACACATGGGCGTCTCATCTTACTACCCAGGGCAAATTACTAGAAGTCCACGTAAAAAATACCAATCTTCTCCAGCACTTGAGACCATCCATCCTTCTGTTCACGTTGCCTAGGACAAATTGCACTTATTTGATAGGATTGGCTCTTCTTCCAAAAGAAAAAAAAAAAAAAAAAATTTAAATTACCAATGAGTCTGTCACCATCAAAAAGCAACCAACATCCCTGAACAACCATTGATAAACTAAATTCTCATACTAAACCCAGCATCACACAACCCGTCATCACAACACGCACACAAAAACAAAACAGGGAAAGAAAGTTAACAAGTGTTTATTGAAGACTTTAAGCAATCAGTACGCAGGCACCGCCAACTTCCTTAATTCTCCTTTCGGCAACTTTGCTGAAAAACTTGGCCTTGACAATCACAGGTCTCTTGGGCAGGTGACCTTTGCCTAAAACCTTGTAATAACCCTGTAGGAGACAAAACAACATTATCAGAACAGCATACAACCAAGAAGAAACAGAAATGGTCACATGAAGGATCTGTGCATCAAACACTGCCAGACTTTACATTCAGCAGCTGTAAACCCCCGTGGTTGTACACTCCTGTTCCAGAAGTTCACTGACAATATTATTTGTAAAGACCTATTTACAGTCCTGGGAAGTAAAGGTGGCTGGCATGATGATGACATCACTCCAAGTGTCAGTATCTAAAATATAAGTCAGGCTTTGTATGTCTAATACGGATGATAGCATGGAAAAGTCCTTTTCCATGTCTTCAGGCATTACACTGCTAGATCTTGACATATAAATAGGTATTCCTTGCAATTGACAAGACAGTGAAAACTAAAGTGTTACAACCAAATGACCCCTAGGCAAGTGGCAGGCTGTCTAAAGCTCTAAACCACTCAGTAACTGGAATATGCCTATCCTGGGTTCAAAGACTGGAGAGTTTTATTTAAACAAGGTTTAGAGGTCATCTGCTGCGACTAGGGCCATTTCCAGTTGTCTTAAAAAGTGGTTATCACCTGTGACAGACCAACAACATCAGCTACAATATATATTATTATCCACTCATTTATCATTGGTGCACAACAGCCCTTTCATCTGTAAAAACAGTGAATTATGATATATATAAATAAATAATCTAGCAACAACTTAGAACTCTCTCGTGAGTCCAGGAGTATGGTGAATTGATAATCAACATCACAGTGTCTGACTATCCAAGTCATACTTCCCTTAGTGTCGGCCACATACCCTAGTAACTCCGTAATGATACATCTGCGCATCCGCACCGTTTACTTGTTTCTAAAGGGCCCTCACAACATCTAGCTTGCCATACATCAAATAACTACCATGTGATGCAGAACTTGTTAACACACCAGCATGACTTACAGAGAATATTCAAAGGATGCCAGCTACCCAAGATCTGTGGATATAGCGAAAGGCAACAAAGACTGCCCCAACTCTCATACTTAAACTAGAAGGCTTGATATCATTTGCAAGGTTTTGCTGCACTGAGCGATTTTCATTCGACTTTGCTATGAACCGCCATGCACTTTGCCAACATAAAGCCACCTATAAAAATCACCTAGACAGGAATTGTCATAAACCATCTGTTGAACTTCAGATATAATATCACGACTTTCAGAGCACCTACACAGGGTGTCCTAAAAACTAGTTTCTAATCCAGTATTTTTTTCTAAAATAACGACCCTTCCCCCCAAAAAAAAAGAGAAACTACTAGCGGAAAAACATTTTTCAAAACAGTACTTACAGCCTGGGCTACATCAATGACTGGAGCCTTCTCAGAAACTTGGTCCAGATATTTGGCTCTAGATTGTTCACTCAACAGGGACCACAGCTTGTCCACATTGATGGATGGGCAGTGGAATTTGTTTAAGGTCTTGTGGTAGTATCTCATACCCACTTTACCAAAGTAACCAGGATGGCTGAGTTAAGAAACAAAATTATACAAATCATCAACCAACAAAACATACAGGTCACTGTCAGTGCACAATGTGTAACTACAGTTAGGACTTCCATCCTTTTACTTTTTAAAAATTGTTAGCTACCGCCCCCTGATGGCCCATCTTTATTGCTGTATGTGTCTTGCACACAAATTTCCTGGATGTCTAATTCATAAGTTAAATATATGACTTCCATCATCAAACTTCCATCGCCTTTTTTTAAATAATTCTTGTTCACTGACAGTTTTAGAAAATCCATGGACAAAATATTGTCGTCCTTCAGCATTCACAGGTCTCCGTTCATTTTTGTCATCATGCCCCCCAAGACGGTCTTAAACAACATATCCAGGCAAAACTGTTCAAGAGAAGCAAAGGTGACTAAAGTTTATAGGTAGTTTGGGGTGGGGGGGGGGGGGGTTGACTGGAATTAAAATTGAGAAAACAGATAAAGACTAAGTCAAGTGAACGAAAGAAGAAGTCCTTCGCAGACTGTAGATGTATGTCCGTATCTCCCTGTTGTGCGACCATTCAGCTCCTTTGCGTATAGTAACCTCTCTGCCTTCTGACATTCAACGGGCTCCAGCCATTTCAGTCCATTAGCCCTTATGATGCTTAATGGTCAATGATAATGAATTTTGTTGTTGCTTCTCTCTCCATTCCTTATTGTTTGCAACTGTGATGGGTCCTAAGTGTTGTCACAAGACTGAAGTCAAAACAAAAATTTGTGATAAAAGCACCAAGTAAACAGGGACAACATATACTTACTATTTGTCAAAGTTGATTCTGTGGTGATGCTGACCACCAGCGTTACCACGGCCACCAGGATGCTTTCTGTGTTTACCTGTCAATTGGAACAACCAGATACCATGTCAATGGATGTAATAATAAAGACCATGCTCTTTAATGTGCATTGTTATGTTTAACGAACAAGAAAATGGAAGGCAATTTGGAGATGTGAACACAGAAAAATAGGTTGTAATTCATTATAACAATCTAACATTTAGGTTCTGGAAAATATATAAACAAAAAAGACAATTACCTGAATAATATAGTCATACTAAAGAGCTTTAAGTAATAGTACACTGATAATGTAAATTAATACAATAGAAATTGAGTTAAAGTGAAGACAAATTCAGGAGAGTATTCACATCCAGCACAAAGATAAAGACACCCACATGGCCAATAGCCACCATTCAGAGAAGTGTTATTTAACTAAACCCACATGGCCAATAGCCACCATTCAGAGAAGTGTTATTTAACTAAACCCACATGGCCAATAGCCACCTTTCAGAGAAGTGTTATTTAACTAAGTTTAATTGTTTTAAAAAATACGGATGCTCACGTGCCACACGCTTGAGATAGATCATTATTACAATAAACAATGACATTGGTCCAACAATCTACTACCATGACAATTGCTCTGATCAATAGATTTTATTTAAATCATGAACACTGCCCGTTTGGCCTTTCAACTTTTCTGGGCTCCAAGCTACACAGGAATTGTTTCGGTTAGCAAAGCCAGCAGCACTCATAAGTTAATTTTTGCATGGCATAATAATTTAACATCAGTTTTGAATTAATTTGTACTAAACTATAACCGCATTTAGAGAGATTCAAGTGCTGTTATTTCTGAGTAAAATCAAGCTGACAGCCAATGCCTTAATAATAGCCGCATCTAGACAGATCTACAAGAAATAAGCAGAAGCAAAAACACATCGGGCCCGCTTATTCAACTGTAACAAACAGAAGCAACCAGTCGGCTAAGAAAGGTACATGTAGAGATAACCATAACCACGGTTTCTTGCCAGTAAAAGAGCCTATAAACAGAATAAACAAATGACAAGACAGCACACTCCAGCCTTATTAAATAAGAGTAGCGACTAGTTTCGACAATTTGCGGTCTTTTTGGCAATTTCTGTTACCAAGGGAACCATTTGAAACTTGTTTGGGAAATGCCGGCTGGGGTTTCGAGATGGGTCATCTCTCATGAAATTTTGCGATGGTGTGATTTTTACCAGCTGAAAACGGCGGGAACGAACCCGATTAACAGCTCATGTTTACAACAGCCGGTCGTCCTGTTTTTCTGTTACATTAGTTTGTTTGAAAATAGCGGTAAGTATAATTTTTGTATTCAAGGTTGGCTTTACGCCTTAAACAAAACATTACCAGACATAATGCTAGTTATAATAGAATTCTCTGTCCACATTTGTATATACAATTTCTTTCCTATTTATAGCTATTTAGATTTACAGTGACATTTTTCAGGCAATCGATATTGTGTGGCCCTGAAAAATTGTCTGCCATCTTGTCCAATGAAAACAAAGCCAAAACGCGAAAGTGCGCAGTTTGGTTGCGCAGAGAAAACTTGTTTCTCGGACGCAAGTTTTTAACAGCTGTTTTTTTTTACATCTCATATCACAAAAACCTACATATCTCAGCTCAGAAATGACATACAAGCCTAAATAAGGTACCGTTGGAAAGAGATTGTAAACAGCTATCTAACTGTGCTGGTTTTATTAGTGTAGAGCGCATTTTAAAAATTTGACTAAGGTATCTGGTGAGAGTATTCTTAAGTTCTTGATATGTGGCACTGGTAGTCATGTCTATTCACAACCTGTCATGTGTATTTTTTAATATCTAAATACAGGATATTCCATGCTATGCTGTCAAACAGTAAACTCTCCCTTTGCAAAGTAAAAATCAGTCTCAATCCACTAGTGCTGGTCTAAAAAGTCTAAGTTAATTACACCAATTTATTGAAATAAACTTGCACTTTTTATTCATAATACTTATAATAGTGCTGCTAATATCAAGTTTGTAACTCAAAATAAAGCAGAATACTCAGTTCTTCTGACCATAGTTCTATCAGCGTAGCGCGGGAGTACTGAAATTGATTATTACTAATAAGACCATGTTAAAGTACAGTTATGGAACGAATAAAACGGACATGTGGTCTGTGTTCAAGAAAAGTTTAAAAAATACACAAAACATATTTTCAAATATGTAAGAATATCCTTAAATACGCAAACATGTGAATAAAATTGAAGAACTGAACATACCGACACGGCCATGACCATGGCTTACATGTCCTCGAAGCTTTCTGGTCTTCTTCAACTTGGTAGTCTGTAACAAACATCATAAATATATGAATAAACCTGACGAAGTCAGTGTAAATGTAAAAATTATATGTTACATTGTTATTCCTTTTATTCAATTGCCAAAGCAAATCTTCCCGATACAATATAATACGCTAAAGATAAACACGGTATTATTTTGTAAAAGAGTATACACCATTGTCGATATTAAATGATTTAAAATCCAGAGAATTTCGCCCTTACCATCTTGTGGATTCGCTTTGCAGGAAAAGGAAGTAGCCAAGAGTCAAGGGAGGTAAGTCTTGGAAAAAATGGCCCGGGAGGAGAGGTAACTCTGGAAGTTTGCACCCTCGTCCTGCAGGAAGTTATTTGTGAAAGGGACGGTCCTAAATTAGAAAATTGACTAGTTTAGAAAATATTTGCAAAGTTGCAAACCGTGATAGTGTATTTTATACACTTTGCAACTTAGAAGATTCTTCTCTTTTAAAATGGTAAAATGCAACGACGTTTATTGTGAAAAAACGGTTGGAAAAGTAAGGATGAAGTTGCAATGTAATTTTAATATATTTAATAATAATATAATTAATATAGTAATATTTTATAATTATTACATTTTCTAATTAATTAATAGTAATACTGTCCTAGAAAGTTAAGTGTATCTTCCAGTTATTATAGATATTGTTTTACATATTTATACATTATTTTCGAGAAAGTATTGCTTTCAGTTTGAATTATGATGGATACTATAACTAGTAACTAGCTGTCTTACTTTCTGTCTGATAATATAAAAGAATAAGGGTATATTGAGTTTTATTAAATTTCTAAATTGTCCCTATATCTAATCAGCTTGATAACTGACCTACCATATAACAGTACTACCTTTCTTGTTCGCCTTGATCACTGACCTGCCATATAACAGTTCTACCTTTTCTTGGTCAGCTTGATCACTGACCTGCCATATAACAGTTCTACCTTTTCTTGGTCAGCTTGATCACTGACCTGCCATATAACAGTTCTACCTTTTCTTGGTCAGCTTGATCACTGACCTGCCATATAACAGTACTACCTTTCCTTGGTCAGCTTGATCACTGACCTACCATATAACACTACTACCTTTCCTTGGTCAGCTTGATCACTGACCTGCCATATAACAGTGCTAACTTTGTTTGGTCAGCCCAATCACTAACCTGCCATATAGCAGTACTTCCTTTCCTTGGTCAGCTTGATCACTGCCTGCCATATAACAGTACTCAGTACTTCCTTTCCTTGGTCAGCTTGATCACTAACCTACCATATAGCAATACTACCTTTCCTTGGTCAGCTTGATCACTGACCTGCCATATAACAGTGCTAACTTTGTTTGGTCAGCCCAATCACTAACCTGCCATATAACAGTACTCAGTACTTCCTTTCCTTGGTCAGCTTGATCACTGCCTGCCATATAACAGTACTCAGTACTTCCTTTCCTTGGTCAGCTTGATCACTAACCTACCATATAGCAATACTACCTTTCCTTGGTCAGCTTGATCACTGACCTGCCATATAACAGTGCTAACTTTGTTTGGTCAGCCCAATCACTAACCTGCCATATAACAGTACTCAGTACTACCTTTCCTTGGTCAGCTTGATCACTGACCTGCCATATAACAGTATTCAGTACTACCTTTCCTTTGTCAGCTTGATCACTGACCTGCCATATAACAGTACTACCTTTCCTTGGTCAGCTTGATCACTAACCTGCCATATAACAGTACTACCTTTCCTTGGTCAGCTTAATCACTAACCTGCCATATAACAGTATTCAGTACTACCTTTCCTTGGTCAGCTTGATCACTGACTTGCCATATAACACTACTACCTTTCCTTGGTAAGCTTGATCACTGACCTGCTATATAATAGTACTACCTTTCCTTGGTCAGCTTGATCACTGACCTGCCATATAAAAGTACTCAGTACTACCTGTTCTATGTTAACAATGAATATGTGGCGGTGTATATTTCTTCTGTATTCATCTGAAGATGTAACATCATGTTGTGCCCATTTACAGCATGGCAGCAATATCTGCACTTTTCGGACGACTTCTGCAGGCATTTACTGGGTTAGCCTTCCCATTGGCATCATACACAAAACATGACATCTCATATTGGGCCAGTAGCTTCAGGCAGAGCAGCCCTTTGAGAATTGTACTAGCCTTATCCTAGGAAATGCAACCTGAAAACTTAATGTTAGGGCAGACCAGACTCCCTTAATTTTGGTTGCCAGCTGGTATAGGAAGTAAGCTCTGACAGGTGGACAGTCTGATCTATCAACTTGTGCAGCATGCATATTGCTGTTACCATTCTATTCTATCTTCTTCTTCAGCATTCAGCATTCCGAGCCCCTTAGGTTCATTGCTACAGATTTAACCTGCCTTAACTCATCTCTCTTGCTGGCCTTTTTTTTCCAGTTGATAACATCAAGTGTTTGCAGGTCTCTCTGGACATTATCTCTTCATCGTCTTCTTAGTCTGCCTTGTGGTCTATGGCCATTCATCTCCCTTGTGTATAGTTTTTTACCTCTCTGTCATGTGACATTCTCCCAATTTACCCCAGGCTTTTCAACCTATAAGCTCTCATACTGCTAATGTTCGATGGTGATTTAAACAGACTATGAATTTTGTTGTTGCTTCCCACTCTCCATTACCCGCTGTTTGCATCTTTGATTACATCTTCTATTCTGTGTAGTGGATAAAAAAGGGAGGGACAATGCTGCATATGCGACATATGGTCTCTACTGTACCTCCCAGTCATTGTGCTGTGGAAAGGAGCAACTTCATCCTTGGCCTTAGTTATCACTATGGGCTGTGATTTCTATGCACCTTCCTCCATTAGCAAAGTGAAAGAACAGAAATTAAGTCTTACTCTTGTGGGTTCTAGGGTCCCAGTGTTGGTGTAACTAGCATGTCAAAGGAGTTGACTAATTGGGGCTTCCTTCAGAGTTGGAGTGCATCTGTCTGAGAGACAAGGAACCAGTAGTCTGCATACATTTATATCACATCTGTAAAACAGATGTGCATGCAATACTAAAATTCTGGAACAAGTGATGGACGAACAACCAAAACTTTCTGCAGGAGTTTACAGCCGATGAATTTGAAAAAAAAGAAGATATTAATTCTAGTTTATTATTCATTTAAATGTCTTCAAATATGTTATCTATACCCATATTTCAGACTTGATAATTCTACAGAAAGGAGGCATGCACCAGTTATAAACCCTAGCGCAGACAGTAACTATGATATCCTAGCAGAGGGGGCTACAATTGAGAACAGAAATTCTCAGAACACTAGGTGATGTCAGAGCAGAAGGGAAGTGTTCGTCAGTTGCCTCCTGGCAAGTTGAATAACATCAAAAAAATCTTTGAAGATGGTAAGATTTAACTGTCAAGTTGTTTTTCTTGATGTTTGTGAATTCTCTTAGTTGTTCTGGGTGTTGAGTTGTTTTTGATGTTTGTAAATTCTTTGAGTTGTTTTGGGTGTTCTTCTCGATGTGTGTGAATTTTTTACTTGTTTTGGGTGTTGAGTAGCTGTTCTTGATGTTTGTGAGTTCTGTGAGTTATTTCAGATGTTGAGTTGATGTTCTTGTTTTGTTGATTGTAAATTCTCTGGAGTACATATATTTTGCTGTTCAAGTCTTTTGAGCTCCCCAAACAAGGCTTGCATCTTGTGGAGTGCGGTGGCACTTTCCATATAATAAAAAAAAAAAAGCATAGGAAAATAAACATGATAATTAATCATGGAAAGGAGCAGCCAACAATAAATATCACAATAAACAGAGACAAATTAACAAGTAACAAGTCTCCGTCATCTTGGACATGTAATAACAGATTGGCATAAGTGAAACAGAAGAAAGAATAAAAGAGAATGGGAATGATCCAATATATTTTCAACTGCAGATCAGAAGGTCGTGGGTTCGCTCCCAGGCAGAGCTGGACTTTCTTCAAAAATGACTTTGACTCCCAGGTCGACCTAGCCTTGAGTAAGTACTGGGTGCAGTCCCGGGAAGTAAAGGCGGCTGGCGTGATACTGACCATATCACCCATCATGTGTTAATTGGTCTATAAAAATATAGGTCTAGCCCTATAAGCCCTATACGCCTAAAGGTGTGGAACAGGCACCTTTACTTACTTATTAACTTATATTTTGTCAGGCTTTTACAAACTGCCATTGCCTTGCCAGTGCATATCAAAATGTCTTTGTTTTCTAACCCAACCAGCCGGTTGAGATGTGAGATCTCGTATGGGAGAACCGGGTTTAGTATTGGTAAGGGATGCAGATGATTTTTTTCCCTCGTGGCAGAAATAAACATTCTAGCCTACACAGTGCGTGGTGACTATCCATGTGGGTGTAAATCCACCAGGTTCACGACACCCTGTCCTTAACCACCCTTATATGCAAGTGGTACATACAAGAACAAACTCAACAGGAAAGAACAAACATCAATTTTTAGATTTCAGACAGGACACTGTGGTCTTCGAGCATACCTGCACAGGATAGGCATAAAAGAATCTGCTGCCTGTGATTGTGGAGCAGAAAGACAGACCCCTGAGCACATACTGCAGGACTGCCCTAACTTCTCCCAGCAAAGACTGGATCTGGCCCAAGGGAGCTACGTGGCGATCTTAAATGCACAATCCTATTTGTGACCCAAACGGGACTCAATGTTTAGCATGACTGTCGAGTGCGGAAGAAGAAGGTATACATACAGGCAATAATCTTGAGGTGAACAGCATGCGATGGCAAATGATTTGACAACTTGGCATCAGTTGGTTGAGGGCCTGTGCTCCGTTCTGGGATAAAGGCCAGAAGAAGAAATAAGAAAGCATGAAGTCATGACAGTTTATTTATACAAATGATATAATTGCTTATAATCACAGGTGAGGGCAGTTCTGCCAGCAAGAGTGATAAATCCATGCCTCCCGCAAGACCACTGCAGCCTCCCAGCCGGGCCAAGTCACCAGTGCAGCAGCACCCACCTCGACTTCAGCCACAGTCTCAGCAGCATTCAAAGTTTCTGGCTGCAAATCAGCAGCAACAACAAGCTACCTCAGCTGTTCAAGCAACGGAGCATGTCGTACAGAACAGAGATCAGAATTTTGTCAGTGGACACAAGCTTTGTGATGCTGGCAGGTTTACCAGCAGTCATTCCCTTGCTTCAGAGCTGACTCAGCAAGGAAAAGATGTGAAAAAACTTAACCCTTCAGTTATTGGAAAATTCTCAGCACCCTCCGATAATAACCCAACACCCCAAAACTTAATTTCAGACAAAGGCACATCTGCCGCTTCCACTCCAAAGCCGGCATTTAGACACTCCCGTGAGAGCAGTGCTGGAGGAGAGACTGTTATTGTGGACAATCCTCTGTACACCAGCGTTCAGCTGCCAGCGAAGACTGCCCAGGAGATTAGTGACCTGTATGCTAAAGTCAACAAACCTAAAAAGGACGCTGATGGCTTGCCTAGAAAAGTATCCTTCACTCCAGAAGATAAAGAAGCAGCTGGTTTTAGCAGACGAGAGGCTATCAGGAAAAATGCAGTAGAGAGGAGAAAAACAATAGCTGGTGGGGAAACAGAGGGTGAAGAAGTAGGAGGTAACAGTGTGAATGTGGCCGAGCGAATGAAACTTTTTGATGTTACCAAAGGAGCTAAACCTACTCTTCCACAAAAACCAGATTCGGTGAAACGAAAGTTCAGTATGAGGACTCAGAAGGAGTTTGACGAACAGCAACAGCATAGGTCTCAAGTATTCAGTCAGAATGATTCTGAAGATGGGGGTGTGTATAGTCCTCCTTGGGACACGTCCAAGAGCAGTATTCTTGAGAAGCTGCAGAAATCCAAGCCTTCACCTGCCGTGTTGTTAGAAAAAAGTGATAGTCCAGGTTTTACAGGTAAGTTAGGAGCTGCAACAAAAACTCCAGGGCCAGGTATGGTGCTGAAACATCCGGACATTTCAACACCAAAGTTAACAGCTAAAGTTGAGGAAAATGTTGTTCTTAGAAATCAGCCCAAAAGCAAATCTGCGGAATCTTCGTCAGAATCTTCACCCCAGCGAGCAGCAGCGTCTGCTCCTCCAAAGCCTCCCAGAACTCATGCTCATGATGATTATCTCCGGGTGAAAGTTTCAGTCTCTCAGAATTTTGACATGAAACCTTCCACAGACACCTCACACCAGACTAATGTCAGAAAAACAGTTAATATAATCACAAGTCCAGAAAAGGCTGAAGCTCACAGGGAGACAGAGTACACCTCAATCAAAGACAGGATAACCAAGTTACAACAGCATTCTGAAACATCATCATCATCATCTGACCCACCTTTGCTGCCTCCAGTTTCATTTACAGAGAAGAATAACGAACAAAACACTGTACGTACCCCAGCCCCCTCACGACCGCCACCACCCAGAAGAAGACCTAACTCAGATGACCGGCCGTCCATTTCTTCAACATTTTCTCAGTCGTCCACAGAAGATGATATTGGGCCAGTGATTATCCCGGTCTCTCCACAGGCTCGTATCCCTCAGCAAAAACAAGTGCCGAACACGCCAGGATTAAACACCCGACGGCCAAGTGACAAACTTCCTCCAGAGCCCGATCCCTCTAAATCAGTGCAAAAATTTCCTTTGCGCAAGAGTTACAGTTCTGAGTGCTTGCATTCTAGTCGAGGAAGTTCCTTGAATGGGGAGTGGGGAGATGAAGACAGCGCAAATGGGATGTCACGGAGCAGTTATGAAAGTCAGTATGAGGCTGTTATTGACCCAGATGGATATGCAGTGCCGAATGTATTTCTCCGTCTGCCAGGACAAAAGAAGCTTTCAATCAAGGATGACAATTTGGTAAGCTGACTTTTTGAATTTTCTGTACCGGTTTTCTTTATCAGAGAAATTTTCCCCCAATGTGGGTTCTGGGGCCCATTTGTTGATTTGCAAAAGGGTGAATTTAGCTTGCTGGTCCTGTATGTTCTTTGAGACGGTTGTTTGTCCACCTCTTGATGTTGTCCTCCCATATATATCACTGTCTGTCTCTTGCTGGCTTGCCTTTAACTTTTCCCTCCAGTAAAGAGCAACAAATTGAATTCATGTGTACACAAGTTTGTGCTAATAGGGTACTAATAATAATAACAATAATAATAATAATAATAATAATAACAACAACAAATGTCTGCTGGAACCAATAGTAATGATAACATTTCGGCTGGGACCATTGATAATAACAAAACATTTATGCCGTGACCAATAATAACAACAACGAATGTCTGCTGGAACCAATAGTAATGATAGCACGTTTCCTCTTTTACCAATATTTTTTTCTCACGTTAACTGAATGTTCTCCCCATGTGAGTTCCAGGGCCACATTTTGCGGGTTGAGAAGAATAGACCAAACCCCCCCCCCCTCCCACTCCCCCCTCCCCCTCCCCCCTCCCACTCCCCTCCTCCCCCTCCTCCCTCCAACCCCCAAGAAGCATGCTGTAGGAGGCGACTAATTGTGTTTCCTTCACAGCCGGAGCGCATCTGCCTGAGAGGCAAGAAACCAGCAGTCTGGCATACAAATAATCCAGATCTGTCAAATGGATATGCACACAAAACTCAAGTGCTGGAACAAGATCAAAGTCCAGAAGTGGTTAAACAACCAGAACTTTCTGCTGGAGTTTACAACCAGTTAACGCAAAGAAAAAAAATAACTAAATGTTCTTCTTAAGTGAGTTTATTGTGGTATGGTTTTACTGTAATATTTCTGATATGAAAGTATGACAGGTTAAACATACGAGATGTGTACTAATGTTCTACATCTTTTACCTACCTCAGGATGTGTCCCCAACACAGTTCTTGACACGGATCAAAGGATTCAGTGGTGACAGCTTGTCAGACAAAAGTCAGCAGGCGCAGGGCATTAAGGCTGTGTCTGTACAAGAGCAGAGTCTTGAGAAAGTCAACAAGAAGAAAATGAACATGGTAAGGAGTTTTGGAATATGTTCATTGTCTGCTAGCTTTCAAGACACTGTCTGGTTCAGAGAAGGATGATTAATGTTGAATTTAGAATCATCACAGCACTCGGGATACCCCCTTAAGCCCTCCATCCCTATCTTCAGCAGCAAGCGAAGAGTTAAAATTCAGATGGTACCAGTAACTGTCTGATTGTATATCTATCTCGCCTTACCCCTAAGTGTCGAGTGTCAGCCAGATCCCCGTGTAACTCCTCGCAGTCTATATTCCTCAGACCGTAATGGTCTATCTATTCCTCGGCACTGTTCACTCGCTCCCAAAGGGCCCTCACAACATCCAGCTTGTCATACATTAGTTCACCACCCAGTGGTGCAGAACTGACTAGTCTGCCTGCCTGCTCATTTCCCAACACACTGGCATAACCTAGAAACAGGTCTGGCAGATGCTCGAAGCTAAGAAGAAAGGCAAGACGGACGTTTAATCAGAATGCTACTAACACCATTAGTATCAGGACTCTGCGCTGGCTGCTGAAAACTGGGACGGAGCGCTTATGGGAATGCCCCGCGTGCTGTGATGTCGGTTCTTGAATCAAATCAAATCAATCAATCAGAGATAGTATTCATACCCTAGACCTCTGAAGTAATGCTTGCCACTCTGCACGGAGCATGATTAATAAAGTGTTTCTTTTTTCTGTGCTCACCTTAGCCCTTTCACCTGTGAAGCGGCAAAACTATCACTTCCTATTGAGTCCAGTGCCCCATAAATGTAACTTTTAGGACTTTTCATTAGTGACATATTTATGAAACGCCTAGTTAATGCTGAATAGCTTTTTTTAAAACCAGGTTAATCTCACTTTTCTCTCAAGACTCAGTCACGGCACGAGTTACTCGACATGTATGTTTTGAGGCCCAGGGGAATGTATTCAGTTTAATGCTTTGTCCTGTTCTTATTTATTGGCTACTCCCTTTATATATCTTTATCTCTCTCTCTCTCTCTCTCTCTCTCTCTCTCTCTCTCTCTCTCTCTCTCTCTCTCTCTCTCTCTCTCTCTCTCTCTCTCTCTCAGGCATGCACGCATTCACACACATTTTAAAAATGTAGATAAATAATAGTAACCTTTGTAAAATGTGGAGAAAAAAAAATTTATGGAGGATTTTTTCTGGAATTTTAACGGGGTCATGTCTCATTTTTTAGTGTTCCCTGAGTGAGAGAGTTTAATGGGAAGTTGATGTGTTTTGCTGTGATATTTTTGTCTTACCGCAAAAAGAGATCCGGTTTCAGCGAAACCCTTAATTAGTCGCCTTTTATGACATGCTTTTTAGTAGCAGTGAGTGTATTCTTTTTCCCCCAATAGGCTGTGCAACCCACATCATCATTAGGTGCCTTGCCGACATGCCTCTCCACAATCTGCAATCTCCTGCAGCATGTATCAGTTCGTGTGCCGACACACCTCCATTCCATGCAACAAGACTGTCAAGAATCTTCTCTTGTTGTCTTTCTCTATCCCTCATTCCATAGATCTTTCTAGTGGTCACAACATGTTCTAGTTTTCCTCTTCTCATAACAACCCACACAGGATATTAAAAAGTAGTTTGAACATCACAAGATTGGCATCAGAGAGGACACCAGAGAGAGCAATGTTATTCAGATACAACAGTGACAGAGCCAGAGGTCGACCATGCAGATTATGGACCGAGAAATATCAGAGAAATATTAAAGTACTTTATATGAAGCAAACAGAAGGACCTACCTGCCCTGGTGCCGGGAGGCATTCCAGGGGTAGAGAAAAGAAGGAAAGAGAAGTAGTGTGAACATTTTATGAGACTGAACACCAGTCATTTATCACTTTATGTCTCAAAGTAAAGAACCTTTAGCACAGTGATTCTCAAACTTCCTAATACAGCCCCTCATGTTGTGGTGACCCCCAGCCACACATTTTTGTTGCTACTTCATAACGTTAGTGAATATGTGTTTTTCGATGGTCTTTGGCTACTCCTGTGAACAGGTCGTTTAACCTCCCAAAAGGGTCACGACACACAGGTTAAGAACCTCTGCTCTAGCATTTCTCATGAAATTAACAGGGATGGATTATCTGAAAATAGTGTTTAGAAAAAAATCAAATTCAAACTTCCCCCACAATGCATTTATTATTTTTAGTGTTAGTTAATCTTTCCTCTTGAACCTCGGACGGTGCTTAGGGCAGAGGTCGTAGCTCTCCATGTCTGGCGGTTCGTTGCCGCCTATTTTAGATGTTTATTGGGCCCATGGTTGAGCCTTCCGTAATGATGGTTCTGTCTTGTCTTTCATGGTCTTCCCGTTTTCTTTTCCCTTCTGGTGTATACCTTACTATATACCCATTATGCAAGGTGGGATGGGGGGGGGGGGGGGAATCTACCCAAAGTATTTCAGCATTCTCGCAGGTGCTACCGAGTTCGTGTCCTGCGCTGAGATTCTTCAAACTCAGAATTGAGTTAGAAGTAGAGCGGAGCAAGTATGGGTTACTACCCTTGTGCCATGATGTTGATCCGTTGTTTAAACCTAAACCTATACCCATTGTGCTCCATGGTATATGTCTTCTACTTTTACCTTAACTTGAATTTGACCTTTCTTCACATTTTGTTTTCTTTACTGAGCATGTCCTGTTGAAATGCTTGTTTCAGGTGAAACAAAAGATCAACCAGGCATATGCTGATGTGGACTTTACTGTTGGTGGACCCTCAGAACGAGGGGACAGTGACTGGCAAATTGTGAATCAGGAACAAGGTGAGATCTTTGCTGACATCACTGCCTGTTGGTATTAATCACAACGTACCGAGATGAAAGAGAGGAAGGTCATGGATGGACCTGCAGTAGAACATTAGCGTGTCATGTCCGTTGGGATATAGACCTTATATGTAAATTCATGACACGGTTCCTACCTTTGCCATCTCTTGTGCAACTCCCCTCATCTTCATCATCATCTCATCATCATCATCATCATCACCATCACATGGCAGGTCTTTTGTAGAGTCGCTTTCATCACATCTCACCTGAAAATACTCAGTCTCACACCATTGCTCTTGCCTTGTGCAAGGTATCACATATATCCTGTGTCCATCTTCTTACTGGTCAGCCCCTGCCCCTCTTTATGGTTATCATGAATTCAGCTGTTATTCTTTCCAATCTGCCAAGGGGCTTGATATGGCCAAAATATTTAGCTTCTGAGACAAAATGCTGTTTATCAGCCAATCTTCCTTGATGTTCAGATCTTTTAGGATGGCACTATTTCTTTGCCACTTTGTCCACGTATTCTGAGAATCTTTTTTTTTTCATCTCAGAAATGATGCGTGCAGTCGTGGAATGCATTGCACACTTGCCAAGTATCTAGGGGATTATGTTAATAAATGTCAGTCCTCCACACATACACACAAGGTTCCCTCAACTGACCAACCATGGCAGCCCACTTTCATTGACAGGGCACATGCTGATGATGATTATTATGGGAGTAAAGAAAGGCCAACCTAAACAGGAGCAAACAGTATAGCCATAGTTCATGTAACAGTATTAACAAATGAAACAATGTATCTGGCACATGTTCATGTCCTTATGTGCTCTTATAGTGGGATTATTATGGGAAAACACATTGGACGACAATGAGTTGGTGATCAGTGATTCACTGTCAGTCCACTACTTTCTGCCAAAACACACTCACATTAGCAGTCTCTAGAACATGGACAAAAACACTGTGGTGAACTATGTATACAGGTGGCTGCTGTGGGGAAATCAACGCTTGATCATGCAGATACACCAACATGCTGTGCAGTGACAGTCCTCTGATAGCTCTCCCTTTAAGACACCCTGCTGCCTGAGGGCCAGAGGTAGATGCACTGCTTGATGAAAAGAATCGAGACCTTGAGTCAGCTACCCAGTCAGTTTTTGAGGTATCACTGATCAACCTCCAGTTAACCACGGTAATCCATAGAACTAAGTGACTCTGCCAAACAGCATTCCTGAGACCTCCCCATCACAACTCCATGCTGGTCAACACACACAAAGTTACCACAGCACCTTCTCTAGCACTTGAAGGCACATCGTCAATCAGCGTGCCACAAAGCTGCAACTTTACCCCGCCTAACACATGTGGGCCGACACAACCGTCCATTCTAGAAAATCACACGGACAGCATTCTGAAGTACAAATTATGATCCACCACATTCATTAACAGTTCACCCGAGCTCCAACAGAATAAAACATATTGTTAAAACTGTCAATCAGCAAGTTCATGTGTCCATTTGCGCACACATCCAAACACTTAGACTGATTGAAAGTGACTGACTCATTCTACCAGGACATCATCTCATGTGCTGTTGACCCACACATATTTGACAATATCTGTGATGGACCATGGTGACATGTCTGCAAGCTAGTCGTGAACTTAAAGCGACACATGTTCCTCAGCTGCAAGTGGCTCATGCTCCACTCTCTTCCAGTGGCTCCAATGCAACATGAATGCCAGGGTGTACCCATGCTTCACCAAGCCCTGGCTTCATTAACTCTTTACATACCAAAGTGACTTTCATACACAACATCTAGCTGTACATGCTCTGGGATAATTTTAGTCCTGTCATCCTTGTATGTTTTCTACAGCAGACTAATCTCATTCACAGATGCTGGCGAAGCTGTGGTGGAGCCTACAGTTCTAAAGAAAAGGATAGAGTACTGCACTTCCGTCCGCTTGAAATCAGTGAGTGCATAGTTTTATATTTAACAATAGCTTTTTACCGCAGCGAGCCACACTGAAACATTACAACGGATATAGAGTGTGGAAAAGACCTCGTGAAAGATGGAGTGATGGCATAAAGAACAGCCTTACAGAAATGAACATCAGTCCTAATAGTGCTCTTGACAGAGCTCATCAACGGATGTTACATCTCCCAGACACTTTGAGGTACAAGGTGGAAGAGAAGTAGAAGAAGAAGAAGGACATTATATGCAAATAAAGGCACTTGTATTATTGTCTCCCTATGTGGATTCTGCCCCCTACCCCATTTTGGGGTAATCAAGAATAGGACTACGGCTCCTTCCCAACAAGTATGTCGTAAATGACAAACAGTTTAGGGCATTTTCTTTCAAATCCTAGTGCATTTGTCCTGCTAGGCAAAGAATCAGCACTCTGCATACAAATAAGCCAGATCTATAAAACAGATGTGAACATAAAACTCAAGCTCTAGAACAAGACCAAAGTCCAGAGGTGGACAAACGACCAGAACTTTGTGCCAGAGTTTACAGCTGGTGAATGCTCTCTTACTTTCTTACTTTCTGGACTTCAGCTTTTCCCTCCAACATGGTTCTTTAAAAGAGTTGTGGATGCATGTGAGTTTTTGCTAAAGTAGTACAGTGATAGGCAAAAGTGAACTACAGTTTACATTTTAGTTCCAAGTTTACATTTTAGTTCCAACATTACATTTTAGTTCCAAGTTTACATTTTAGTTCCAAGTTTAAATTTTAGTTCCAAGTTTACATTTTAGTTCCAAGTTTACATTTTAGTTCCAGGTTTACATTTTAGTTCCAAGTTTACATTTTAGTTCCAACATTACATTTTAGTTCCAAGTTTACATTTTAGTTCCAAGTTTACATTTTAGTTCCAAGTTTACATTTTAGTTCCAGGTTTACATTTTAGTTCTCTGTTCTGTATTTTGAAACAGAGTAAGAGCATCAGACACTGCAAGGAATACCTGAGTGCTGTGTACCCGCAGCTGTTTGAGTATTGTCTCATTGTGGGCTTGCAACGTTTGGTGGATGTTGATGGATACGAGCCTCATGTGAAATTTAAATTTCCTGAAAACGTAAGTTCTTCTTTCACTCGCTTGAAATAGATGATCTATATCTGCAATGTTGTCTCTAGTAGAAACTTTGCTGCCTTCTGTTTTTCACTCACTGACACATCAAGTTTGGCTTCCGCTGGTGTTTTTCTTTGCCAGAAATTTGTGTCTTGATATGTTGTATTTAGGACAGTCTTGGATAATGTGACCTGTTGTCTCAGGTGCCAGTCCACAAATGCACATGGCTGATTTGCCAGTCTTAAATTAAATATTATATGTACAGTTGGTGGTAAAGTCGATTGTACCCTGTTCTAATGCGTACAGTAATGACTTGCTTTGGCTGTCCATAATAAGGTAATCAGATGAAAGTGTATTTGCATGTCTTGTATGACTTAAGCAGTTTTATTCTTCTCCTCCTCCTCTTCTTCTTCTTCCTCCTCCTCCTCCTCGTCCTCTTCTTCTTTTTCTTATTCTTCTGTGTTTGCCCTTAAAAAGGCGGTTGGCACTTAATGTTGCAGTTTACAGTTAGGCCGTGATAGACCCCCTAATTAGTTGCCTTTTACGGCATGTTTGTCAGAGTACAGTGGGTCTATTCTTTCCTCCCCCACCCCAAATGGGACCCTGAAACCCACATGGGGAAAATAACTGATGAAAATGTTGCATTCCAAGCAATTGTTGGAAAGAGATAATGTTCTTCAGGCATGTGATGGGAAAGCAAGCTTTGGACAACACCTGGAAAGATCAGGTAAGTGAGGCAAAGACATGTTTAAGTAAATGTTGCTGGATGGTCTCATACAATGACACGGCCATGAATCATCAGTTCAGTTGATTCTGAACTTCAAAGGCCATCATCACTGGAGAGATATGAACATCTAAGCCAACCAGCATAAACATGATGTTGTCGTCACCACCTTTCCATCTTTCTAGATGATAGTGTTCCATTATGCTGTAAAGAGGTATGAGAAACGTATGAGATGATAGTGTTCCATTATGCTATAAAGAAGTATGAGAAATGTAGGGGATGATAGTGTTCCATTATGCTATAAGGAGGCATGAGAAACTGAACCCGTGGCGACGTTGTGTGGGACTAGCACGACCAGCTCCAGTAACCCTTTCACCCCGGGAACACTTACAAAAAAAATTGTTCATGATCTCATAAGAATTCAGCAAATTTTTTTTGGCAAAAACATCAATTTTTACACAGGTCATCACCAGTAAGTTTGAAACAAAAATGTATTAATCTACATTAAAAGAAAAAAAATATATATATAAAGATGTAGGAAAGTACACAGTAAACACAAACAGGATGAAGCTTTATTTGAAATACTTTCCCCAAGGCCTAAAAGACACACCTGTATTGGGGGACTCCTGACATGATCTCTATCACTGAGGATTATGAGAACATCTGACATCAACTTGGCTTTTAAAAAAAGCCATTTAGCTCAAAGGAAAATCCCTCCCCCCAATGAATGTATTCATATCCTGACCTAAATGTTCTTGCAGATGCATGCTCAGCCAATAGTATTCTTCTTCTTCTTTGTTCACCGGCTGTATGCTCTGGGTGGAAAGTCCTGGTTATTCATCCGCCTGGATTTTGGCTTTGTGCCAGGGCCTGAGTTTTGTGTATACATCTGTTTTACTCACTTGTTTGTGTGCAGTTGGTTGTTCCATACGGCTCTGGCAAATGCACTCCAACTTTGAAGAAAGCTACCTATTAGACGACTCCTACGACATGGTTTTTGAGGAGGCAGTGGGACTATTCTTGTTTTCCCCACATAGGGGCCCCAGAACCCACATAGGGGCCCCAGAACCCACATAGGGGCCCCAGAACCCACATAGGGGCCCCAGAACCAACATAGGGGCCCCAGAACCCAAACTATGCATCTCGTAAACAGGTCACAATAGGGGCCCCAGAACCCAAACTATGCATCTCGTAAACAGGTCACAATAGGGGCCCCAGAACCCAAACTATGCATCTCGTAAACAGGTCACAATAGGGGCCCCAGAACCCAAACTATGCATCTCGGAAACAGGTCACAATAGGGGCCCCAGAACCCAAACTATGCATCTTGTAAACAGGTCACAATAGGGGCCCCAGAACCCAAACTATGCATCTCGGAAACAGGTCACAATAGGGGCCCCAGAACCCAAACTATGCATCTCATAAACAGGTCACGATAGGCAAGTCGGAAAGGTGACATTTATGGGGAATTGTACCCAGCCGGAAGTGTCAGTATTTTGGCTTCTCGGGAGAAAAGGGTTGAAGGAACCTTCAACAAGTGCATGAGATATCAAGACTATTATTGGCATCATATGTATTTGGCATTCTCAGACGCTCATCTGTAGCACAGTGCTTGGGTAGCTTGTACAGTTCACCTGTTGCCCATGCAGGATGATCTGTCTCACTGGCTGCTTTGTTAACTCCAAAAGAACATGATGATGATGCTGTAAATATATTAAAAGATATTTAACATGTTTTGATCGGCTGGTATTTCATAAATTTTCAAACATTGGCACCATGCAGCGCAGCTATAAACTGGGATTTCGTGGTAACATTTATCTCTCCGTATCTGAGGTACCATTTAAAAAGACTGTGGAATGTGGTTTTGTGTTTTCAAAGTTTTTACTTCATATGTAATGTACTCATTTGTTCTGGTTGCCATAATTTTGTTGTTAATTTGATCTGTTGTGGTTTGCCCCTTAAAAAGACATTGTCCATATGTATACACATATACATTATCATTATCATGTGCCCTGTCAATAAGCTTAGGTAGTCGTGTCTTTCTACAACATTATTTATTGTGTACTTTCAGTCATTTCTGATGCAAATGATCTTCCATACCTTATTACATTGGTAGTCATTTATGTCTTTTCACAACCTTGTGTATTTTCAATCATTTCTGACCACCCCGAATTCCAAAGAATGAGGGTTGTGGGGCCTCATGGGGTTGGGGGATAGACCCACTGCCTCCCTAATAAGCACGTCGTAAGAGTTGTTGTATTAAGGATGTTTCTTTCAAAGTCAGAGTGCATCAGCCTGAGAGGCAAGGAACCGACAGTCTGCATACAAATAAGCTAGATCTGTACAACGGATGTGCACGCAATACTCAAGTTCTGGAATGGGACTGAATTTCAGAAGTGGGCGAACAACCAGAATTTTCACCCAAGTTTACAGCCGGTGAATGGGAAGAAGAAGTTCTGACACAGATGATCTTCTGTACCTTTAAGCATTAGTAGTTGTGTCTATCCACAGCCTTCTGTCTTGTGTACTTTCAGTCATTTCTGATACAGATGGTCTTCCATACAATGATGCTAACTGTCCAGATAAACAGATCAATTGGCATTATTTAGTAGCAGACTGCCTCCTATCCAACAGCAACTATAGACTTTCTTCAGATTGCTTAGGTAGTTTTAGATTCACCTTACCTCAGGAAATGTATAAATATTTCTTCAAAGCTTCTCATTTCAATCACTAAAAGTGATTAAAAAAACCTGTTTTCATTTAAACTGTTATTCTCATAACAGAATTAGAATTTGTCACCACTGTGCCATGCCTTAGTCCATTTTTTTTCATATAAAAAAAAAAGCTTGTACTAATCATAAAGTCCCCCCCTCCCAAAGGTGCTGTACTCACCATAAGGGAGTTGCCATAGCATTGGTGGCTAGACACCCACCTGTGGATCAGAAGAACTTGGGTTCGCGTCACAACGGAGCCAGATTTTCCCCCAAAAATGACCTTGACTCCTAGGTTAACCCAGCTTTGAGAGGTTACCAAGTGCAGTACTGGGAAGTAAAGGCCGCCGGCATGATGCTGACCACATCACCCAGATTAGTCTATAAAAAAAATATAGATCTAGCCCCTTTTTCCCCCCCCCACTACGCTTAAAGGCGTGGAAAAGGGACCTTGTTTTACTCCCCACAAAGTGTCTATTACAGTGGTACTGAAATAAGTGGGCTGATATTGTGTACCATTGTGTACCCCTAGAAAAAACGCCCTGTATGTTTCCAAAATAAGAACACTATGCATGCTGCCTCATACATATATCATCTCCATACGTGTCCCCTTGTCTTATTATCACTGTATCAGTTACATATGCCAGTTATTTATTTATGCATGTCACTGTGTTTTTTTTAATCCTTCTAGTATCCTGATTTCGCAACGGTATGGTCTTGATATTTTATATCTTTTTTTCTTGCAGATTGTTTCATGGCTTATTTTTTTTCTAGTTATTTTGCACATTTTATGAGTTAGGTAGAAGGTTGAAAAAAAAAAAATACACCACAAAAACAAAAAAACTGTTGTGTACCCTTTTCAAGATTTCACAAATCTTCTTTAGCATTTAGTGCAGTGGTTTTTCAACCTTCCTAATGCCAAGACCCATTAATACAGTTCCTCATGTTGTTATGACCCCCAGCCGTAAAATTATTTACATTGCTATTTCCTAACTTCAATGAATGTGTGTTTTCCGGTGGTCTTAGGCAACCCCTGTGAAAGGGTCATTCAACCCTCAAAGGGCTCTCGACCACACATTCTTCTTCTTCTTCTCGTTCACCGGCTGTAAACTCTGGTGGAAAGTTCTGGTTGTTCGTCCACTTCTGGACTGCAGTCCTGTTCCAGAACCTGAGTGTTGCGTGTGCATCTGTTTGACAGATATGTATGCAGACTGTTGGTTCCTTACCTTTCAGGCAGAAGCACTCCGACTTCAAAGGAAGCTTCCACTTAGTCGACTCTTACGACATGCTTTTGGGTAGGCAGTGGGTCTATTCTTGTTTTTCCCACAGTAGGGCCCCGGAACCCACACGGGGAGGTGGGGGGGGGGGGGCAAAGATTGAAAACCGCTGATTTAGTGTGTGGTCCAAGCAGGTCAGTGGTTCCCACTTAGCCAAAACCTGTGGACTGCAGTCTTCAAGGGACCAAATGGCAACAAGCTCTCTTAGATTTCCCCAAAACTTAGTTGTGAAGTTAGTTGGGTAGTAGCTAAGTGTAGATCTGTTCAAGATGTGGGACTCACTTCTACTTTCACCAGA